TACAAAAATATCATAATTTGATTCACACTCCCTTGGGTTCGACCCTTACTCACTGCTACTACTAGTTGGTAGAAGTCGGTTAAGGAATTTATAAATATTAATTTTGCCGCGTCGCGACGCGCGGTTAGTCAACGTCGTAGGTCAACCGTCTCAGTATTTAACGAATTAAAAAAATAAAAGGATGAAATCTTGACAAACATCATGTTTCTTAATTAATAGATAGAGTTGAATCTCACATTCTCATTTTAAAAATATGGACACATTTGATCCAATCTCTATAGAATATATACATTTATGTTTAATATTTGTTTCTTTTATGTATTTTGGGAAGAAAAAGGAAATAAAAAAGAAGTTGAGTATAGTATGCACATAAATTCTACAAGTTGAAAAATAAGATACTATCGAAGGTTAAATAATTCTAAACATTTTCTTTTTTATTTTTTTTTATATTAAAATAACTTTGCATAATAGGTAATATGTATTTTTTATGTTAATTAATACATTTATATATATATTACAAAAAAAATGGGGCTCGTGCCCTACGGGCCCCTGTGTAGATCCGCCTATGCTAACCATAGTGCCCAAAGTTGGATTATAGGCACAAATTTCGTATATAAGAACATCTTCAACCGATACCGAAAACTCAAAAAATGCATTATTTTTGCTCTAACCGTTGCATTTGCTCCTTTTTCTTGTCCGAAGAAACGCAAATTTGCGTTCTTCCTGTTCACAAACGCATATCTTCTTAAAAATTACAAAGTGACCTTTGATAATGGATATGTGAGATTGGGTCTATTTTTTTCCTTTCTCTATATATATCTATTGCAATAATTAATTTTTAATATATTATGATATACAAAATAATTGAATGCCAAGAATTAATGCCAAATTAATTCTTGAGGCTAATTTTTCTAGTGACTCACACCTAGCAGGTTTGTATAATATATAACATATTTATTTTTTATATGTTTATTTGTATTGATGTATTATATATTCTATATGCTTAGCTCTATTGATGTGTTTTATTTGTATATAATGTAATCGCTAAATATTATTTAGTAGGATAATTATAATCATTATCATAGAATTTTGAAATTAAAATGAAATATTAGCATTAAAAAAGTAAAAATGTGATAAGATAATTACTGCAAAATAGGTTTGAGAATGAGTTTTTTTCGGTTAGAGATGGATCTAACTACACATGAATGAGAGATTTCGGTCTGTTAATTTTATTTTATTTTTTTATTTTTCATTTCGAAGATATATGATTAGTTTGTACTTTGTCGCGTAGATAGATTGTTAGACAGAAATTTCACATATAACTAAATGAGTATGAGAGTTTTTTTTCTTTGTTTTAATGATATATACACGACTAGCTTGTTTTCAAGATATGTTTTTTAAGCAGAAATTTCATATGTAATTACAAAAGTTTGAGAATTTTTTATCAGCGTTTTTTTTAAGTAATGCTATAGTGACATAATATTGTACATACGAGTGTACATAAAACGAAATTCAAGATTACATGAGAAATCACCAAGGCTTTTGAGTTGCGTATATCACACTAATCTCACCACTAACTAATATAAAGTCTCGAGACAATGTATTTATGCAAAATAATCAACCATTAAGATATACATTAACGTTCATCAATCATCATTAACCAAGCATTTAAATTAGATGATGAGGTTAATTAATTAACAAACAAGTTAATTACAAAATTCTCAATTTCCAAACAAGTGTAGTGAGGTGACTTTTGCTACTATTTGTGTACAATCACTCACAAAAGGGAACAAAACAGGTGTCAAAAACCCATTGCATTTGTCAATGTGACTCATTTTAACGTACGTTTTCAAACTGACAATCTACCCCGTAGATGCATGTGCTGCTACAACACTCCATCTCCACATACTATCCAAATATAGTACCAATATCACTACAAAAAAACATTTTACATTCCAACGGAAATTTTCCGTTAGAATTCTTTATATATCCGATGGAATAGGTATTCCAACGGATATTCCTACGTATAAAAATTCGTAGGAAAAATGGCCGTTGGAATAGCTAAAATCCAACGGAAAATCCTATAGAAATAAATTCCTACAGCTATTCCAACGGAAAAAATCCGTTGGAATCCCTCAACCATCCAACACTTTTTCCAACATAAAATTAATTTTGTTGGAATATTCATTGGAATTTCCAACGGAAATTTTTCCGTTGGAATTTTTCGTTGGAATTGAAGTGTTTTTTTTGTAGTGTATCGATATAAACGAGATGAGTTGATGTAAAGAAAATGAGTTAGCTCGTGAGCTTGACTCGATTTCTGCGATAAACGAATTGAGTATGAGATTGTATAAGTAATGAGTCTAGTCGAGTTCATTTTGTGAACACGCGAAAAATAAGTTGTTGTTTTATTTTTAAATATATTATTTGAGTGTTCATCTTAATTGGCTAAACTTGTTAAAATTCGATTTTGACATTTATATTCATAAATAAATTGAACTTGAGCTCGTTTATCGCATGCTCAGTTAACAAACTGAAGCTGGTTCGCTCGATAACAGCTCCCACATGAGCTCGAATATCAGAAGTTTGAGTTCGGAGCTCGACTGGTTATACCTTTATATCTTAAAAAAATTAACATTTGAAAAAAAACAATGTGACAAATTAATGTCGAAATTGTGCCACAACATCACTAAAAAAGTTATGAAATTCAAATGAAAATATATTATAATGGAATAATTCCAACAACAATTCCAATGTAATTATTTCCGTTAAAAATTTTCAATTGATTTCAACGAAAATATATTCTGTTTGAATGGGCTTTTCATTGGAATTTTCAATGGACTTTGACTATTCTAACTACAGATTTTTCAAAGGTCGAAAAATGTGTGGAAACAAGAATTCCAACGGAAATCGCATATTTCAATAAAAATTCCTATGACGATAACTCACTGAAAAAAATGGATGTTGGAATCATAAAATTCCAACTAAAATTCTAGTAAAATCTCATTTCATCAACGGAATATTTCGTTGTAATTTCAATTGGAATCATTTCATACATAGGATTTTTTGTACCATTTTCTTATATTATAGGAAAAACTTTCACTCTACCAATAAACGCACAATTTCGTTGGATCAATACACGGGTATAGAGATATATGGTGTTGACTCAATTTTAAAATTGTAGTAGTAGCTAGCATGCAGTGCAATGAGTAAATTGTAATTTTAGTCCTGTATATGTCACTACCCTAACTTTTCGTACTCTTCAAATTATTTTTTTTTCGTCCTCTTCGAATTTTTTTCTTTTCGTCCTTACGTTGACAAAAAGGTTACAGAAAGGTCCCCGAGCATACATAAGAGACGAAATTAAGATGATGTTGAGAGGCAACAAGGGCCCAGGTCCAAAATCCTTTACTTGGACAAAAACCATTTTATTGGTATCAGCGTCCTTTTCCTTTGTATAGCTTACATTTGGCAGCCTTAGGTAAGCGCGTGTGCTGCACTGACGGCTCGTATTGCTCGTGGCTGAATGGAGCAAATTTTGGGCCCCCGAGTTTTCACCTGACTATCCAACAACGATGGACCTCAAACAAACATACAAAATATACAACATATTTCATGAAATGATATACATTAGTGAGGAAGATGTTACTCCCACTTAGAGATGGCCACGGCCCGGACCGGCCCGTGAACCGGTCTCAGCCCGGCCCGAACCGGCTTCCTAATGTCCGGTTCGTTGAACCGGACCCGTAGGGCCGCGGTTCGATTCCGGGCAATAAATTTTTTTTTGACCCGCCGGTCCGGGCCGGGCCGGGTCGCGGGTCGAACGGCGCGCCACGGCGCTATTTTCTTTTTCTTCCTTAAGGACCGTCCCGTGAACCGGCAGTTCGGGCCGGTTCTATGAACCGGCCCATAGATTTTTTTCGAGCCGGTCACGGGCCATGGTGTTGAGGCCCGCCGGGCCAGGTCGTGGCCCGGCACCTAGCCATGTCTACTCCTACTCAACCATTCCGTCATGATTTGTAACCGTTACATTAATTATCTCTGACGGTTACATGATGATTTAACGGTTATGAATTAATGGTTCCATAACGAGACCTTAGCATTTCTCTATTAGTGAATTCTAACCCAACGAAATAGTTCTGTAACGGGACCTTATCCTTTCTCCATAAGTGAAGTCTAAATTCGTACAAGAAAGTATGCAAACCACATGATTTAAGGCTGTAGCTAGCAAATGAAGTAGAAGCTTATAACCCACCAATCGAGAGATATCAAATGAAACACTACTGTCTTGACTTGACCCCACCGTTGGACTTGAATTCAATGGAATTCAATGTCATGCGACTCGTGCCATTAACACATTTGTACGACCCATGAAATGCATGTGAGAACATGATTTAATGTTAGAAGTTAGAACAAAACTATACACATAAAATATACCATAAATCACTTCAACAACAACGATGGCCAAATTGCACTATAAAAATAACTTGTATGCCTCAATATGTCTCCACTCTCCTTCTCAACACTTCTCAATTCCATTGAATTATCACACTCCGCCCTCATAGCTCAAACATCCATAAATATTAAATATTCCATATATAACTACAAATCTAAACCAAATTAAATTTAATTAGTCACACACATACAACAACAATTTAATTATTAATAAACAATAACAATAACTTACAAGTCATGTCACCCGAAAACACTCTCAAACCAGGCAGCATGGTCCACCCGGGCCTCACCTCCGGTGACTACTCCGGCCACCTCGACTGCCGACCACATACCGGCTTCGTCGCCACTCTCGCCCGCGTGGACGGCCATGTGTACTCCCTTGCCACCAGCGGCGGCCACCTCTACACGGGCTCCAGTGGCAAGAGCATCCACGTGTGGCGGGACTTCCGCCTGGTCTCCTCCTTCACTTCCGACAGCGGCCTCGTCAAGTCCATTGTCATCTTTGAAAACACCGTCTTCACGGGCCACCAAGACGGCAAGATCCGCATCTGGCGGGCCGACAACCCCGGCAGGCCCCACCGTCGGGCCGGCACATTGCCCGCCCTGCTCGACGTTCTCCGGGCCTCGGTGAGGCCCAGAGGAGGCCATGTGGAGGAGGCAAGGCGGCGGAGCCGCCGCCGCTCGCCCGTCTGGGTCCAGCACGCCGACGCCGTCTCGTGCCTCAGTATGAGCCTGGAAAGCAATGGTTGTGATCCCCGTGTGCTGTACTCGGCCTCGTGGGATGGGACATTCAAGGCGTGGAGGGTCGGGCCCGGGCCCGCGAGGTGCATGGAATCGGTTCGGGCCCACGACGACGCGGTGAACTCGGTGGCGGCGGGGCCCGGAGGGGTCGTCTACACGGGGTCGGCGGACGGGACGGTGAAGGCGTGGCGGGAGAGGGACGGGAGGCACGTTTTGGCCGGAATTTTACTCCGGCGTGAGGCGGCTGCGGTTACGGCGGTGGCAGTGGGCGGCAGAGATGGGGTGGCGGTTTACGCGGGGCTTTCGGACGGGACAGTGGAGTTTTGGGAGGCGGGGGAGAAGGGGACGACATGGGCCCACGGAGGGGTGTTGAGGGGCCACGGGATGGCGGCGGTGCTGTGCCTGGCGGCTGGCTGCGGCGGGAGGCTGGTGATGAGCGGGTCGGCGGATGGGAGGATTTGCGTGTGGCGGCGAAGGGAGGAAGGTGTGGGAAAAGGGCACGATCTCTTGTCGGTACTGAAGGGGCATGCGGGGCCCGTCAAGTGCCTGGCGGTCGAGAAGGATGTGGAGGAGGGGAGGTGGATGGTGTACAGTGGGAGCCTCGACAAGTCGGTGAAGGTGTGGAGCGTGTCGGAGATGTAATATGGGCGCCGATATGATGTTCGTGGCATTTACAGGACTAGGTTCTAGGCGCCCCAACATGGAGGCGATTTTAAGAAAATCTGCATTAAAAAAAAAAAAAAAAAAATAGTAAAGCTGAAGGTTCATGACTATGAGAAAGATAAGTATGTTTCTCAGATGCTGTGTAAACGGTATAGCCGTTAGACATCGGGCTAGCTCACGACTACGACTATGGCATAGTGGTTTCCTTAACCTTTTGTACACAGTTAGTCTATTACAAAGTAAATAATGTTTCAAATTAACTTGGTACTAGTTATGCGCTATGGGTTTAGTATTATCGTGTTACCAGCAGCAAGTACATTGGAAATATGTTTCAATTTGGCTCTTGAAAGCTCAAATTCAGCTCATTCGTATATTTATAAACAAACCAAGCTCGAGCAGCTAATCAACGTCGTCTACTTTACTAACTGAACCAAGTATGTTCACAAACTACTCAGTTTAATTTTTTTATAATTTTAAATGAAATAATCAAGTCAAACTTGTTCGAAATGGACTTCAAATAGCTCACTTTAAAATTTATGTTCATTAAATAAGTCCAGCCGAGCTTAAAAGAACCAAGTTGTAGCCAACTTATTTATTAAGCAAGCCCAGCCAAAACAACTAGTGTATTAAACAAGCACAAGCTTAGACTGGAGACCTCATTTATTAAGCAAGCCAAGCCAAACCAGCTCCTTTTTAAGCATGCAAGAGCTTGAACTGGAACTACTCGGCTCAGCTCGACTAATAGTCTAATACTTTAATACAGCTCGACTAATACTCCAATACTAATAGGCAACACCAAAAACTTTTAGTATATTCTTGGGCATTACACATTCAACACCAGAAAATCTTGACCACTTTAACCCAAATGGAATGAAAAGCTGTCAAACAAACAGCTACAGAGAACAGCTACAGAGAACATAAATAAAACACATGCACAAACCATATACATGATAATAACAGCAAAATCAACTTGAAAATTTTCAGAACAAAAAACAAGTTCCAGAAGAAAGACTCACACAAACAACAGTAGCTGCTGCAAGCATTAATCAGACAAGATATCATATGCCACAACAAAATCCATTAAAATTACCACTTCAAGATTCTGGATCCATCAAATGTGCAAAGAACACAACAAAAACTAGTAGAGTCAAACGCTCAAAAATCAAAAGACAAGCCCAAATTCAAGAAAAATTCCCACTTAGCCAATGGCTAAAAACTTTAGTAACCACCCTTGAGATCATTGACAACATCATATGGGATTGGAGTCACAGTCTCAATAGTTGCTCCCTCAACCATAAAACCGGGCTTGGGTCCCTCTGGCTGTCTCTTGGTGCTAATAATCTTACCTTGTGCCTTGGCCTCAGCCTTAAGTTTATCATTCTTCTTGATCCTCTCCAGAATCTCCTCGTGGCAGCGTGAGGGCTGAACGTGCTCTATGCGAACATGAATTCTCTTCCTTATGATCCGGTTACCAACCTTCACACATGCATAAAACATGGACAGGTAGAGAAAAGTTAATAGTGTCACATGGAAATTGAAAAGGCAATATTGAAAAGAGAAAGCATTCCATGGTCAAATTTTTCAAGAAAAGATGAAAACGATGCTGTGGCAAAGGGAACTTCAAAACCAAGAATGAAATTTCGAATATGGATGGCCATGGAATGAAAGATTAAAAAACATCCAAAGTTGCACATCCCAGAAATTACTATTGCATGAAACTATATCATGAAATCAAGAGTTCAAATTAGTCTCAGACATCCAAGGAAGGATACAAGCAGCACAAGCTCTCAAGCCCGGCGAAGGCGAAAGCTATCAGGCAGCCACTACGAATGTTTTGAGAAACAAGCCTTAGGTTTTGTCGTCACAGACATAAAATTGAAAAGAAATCAAGTGAAAATATCCCAAAGATAAAATAAAATAACTGCAAGAACACAACTTTTTAACACCAGCTTGACAAATTAAATAACTACTGTAAAGACACCACTTAAGCAACTACTACCCAAATACAGAGAATAAAATGTGAGGCAACCCTTTCATCACTACATTCAATCAATTTACGAACCCATTTGAGTCATCAATAGAATGTTAAAAACCCACAGAATCAAGCAACTTTCACCAAATATACCAAGGCATTCCACAAATTAGACCATCTTAAGCTCAGTTAAACACACACATGTGTGAGCAAAACACATTAACCATACATTAGTTCAACATCTACCAAAAACAGCATGATATATACAGTAATCCATGACCCAACACACATGTTAAAATGTGAGGCAAACCTTTCATCACTGCACTCAACCAATTCTGAACCCATTTGGGTCACAGATAGAAATGTAAAACCTCATACTCAAAGCAACATCCACCCAAGAACCCAAGGCATCCCAAATTAGCCGATCTCAAACTCAGATCAAACACACGTGAGCAAAAAACACAAATTAAACATACATTCATTCAACACCAACTAAAAAATGCAAGATATAGAGTAACCTACAACCAACATCGCCAAATATAAACAAACTCTTCAAACAATTAAAACATTGTTTTCATCAGTATCAATTGAAGAAAAAAAAAAAAAACCCTAGAGACACTCGAAAGAAAAAGCCATGGCTACCTGCTTGTTGACCTCAACCCCGATTGCCCGCTTGGTGACGTTCCAAACCCGACCCGTGCGGCCATGGTAGAACTTGTGGGGCATGCCCTTGTGGATCGACCCGTTAACTTTGACATCAACGTAGTCACCGATCTTGTAGGCCCGGAGGTAGGTCGATAAATGGGTCGGGCCCTTCTTCCTGAACGGACGGGCAAACAGATCCCTCGTGCGCGCTCTCAGACCGTGTCCCGCCGGCATTTTTTCTGTGTTTGTTCTTCTGTGCAAGTGTTTGGAGTGCGTGTAGATGGCGGAGGTGCTAAATGGTGAGGGAAAGGGTTTATATATGGAACGAAACTAGGGCTTTTGAGTAGAGATGACAAAGGTTGGCGTTGGGCCTAGAAATGGGCTGTATTAAGTCCCTTTTCATCTAAATTTGGGCCTCAGACATAAAGACCCAAAATTTATCTTAAAAAATTGGTAAATTAATTAATTGGGCTAACGGATTATTCATAAAGCCCAATAATCCTCCTGTCTTTCTTCTCCACAGATCATTATTTTTTCCGCCTTCTTCACAACAGCCCCGACTCCATAACTTAAATCTTCCGCACACGCGCACGAAACCTCCATCCACGGCGGCGCGAGGCGTAACTCCCCGTCAATTGAAGAGGTAAAAGTTGAGTTTTTCTTGTCTTATTGAATTGTTTCTATAATGAATGAAACCCTAGCTTTTCTTTTCATTATGGTCAATTTATGCTTTGCTGAGCATGATGATGGATGATTATTTGAAACCCATTTGTGAATCTGCGGTTGAAATGTATTCCGTTGAAATTGAGTTTGATTTCTGAACTCGCCGGGCAGCCCCAGAAAGATGTTAGCTTAAGAAATTGTCAAATTATTCATATGTTAGCTACGTAACATTATTCTAGGAAGAAATGATAGCATTTTAGTCAGCTAGATGTGCTAAGGCTTTTTTTCCCAAGGTTTCGAGTCAAAATAATTTCCGTTTATCAAATTTTTTTACTGTCACAAAGCTCTTAGATTTGACCTAAAATAGGTTACCCTTCATTTAGGTGATATGTTTGGCCTAGTCGGTAAGGAAGATTTGTTGCAACAAAAAATACGATTCGACTATTATTATGGGCATAATTTTTCTGTCCTGTTTTCCTATAGGATGTATAATGTGTGAAGACTCTAGGAAGTAGGAAAGAAGTATACATGCCTTTAATTGTTCTATGAAGAATGAAGATGTACGAATATAGACCCAGTTCTACAAGCACTAACAGTATAAACTGATATGAGATGAGAAAAACTGCAGGACACTTGAATAACAAAAGCTACAGACATATCGTGGGCTCAGTCTAGTGTGTGTGTGTATATATGTATGTATATTCATTCTCATATTTTTATACTTTATTGTAAAATAAATATAATAACTAGTAACTTACAAAAAAATTGTATCAAATTATTAACCAGAATATTTATATTTATATTTTTTACTTTATTGTACTAATTACATATAGAAGTTTCTGATTAACTAAATGTGTTATATGCACCAATTTCATTATGATGGTTATATGGAAATCATTATTTAATTGAGACGTACATGAAGATCACACCCCTTTAGTCCAAACTCTCACAGTTTACTCGATTTGCCTTGATACTCTCGTATTAGGGATCTAAATCCATCTACAATATCATGGCTCCAGCCGCTCCAAAATCCGGCGATGCGATTTTTGCCAGTGTTGATCGCGTAGTAAGTTTTTCCCGATTGAGAAAGCGAAATTATCTTATGTTTACCCTTTGATCCGAAACTTTTACCATTCTATTTAATCAATTAATGTTACCAATCGGCTTTAATCATGTTTTATGTGGCTACATATGTTCTTAGAACTCGGAGCTGTTTACTCTCACATATGGCGCTATCGTGCGCCAGCTGCTAACCGATCTGGAGGAGGTGGAGGAGGTCAATAAGCAGCTCGATCAAATGTGATTGTTTTTTCACTCTCTGTGTCTTATTAATGATGATGAGCTTCTTCTTCCTTTCTTAACATTTTCAGAGTTATGGTGATTTTTCATGGCAGTGGTTACAATATCGGGGTCAGGCTAGTTGATGAGTTCCTAGCAAAGTCTAATGTGGCGAGGTGTGTTGACTTCAGGGAGACAGCTGAAGTAATTGCAAAGGTCTCTTTTTCTTTTTCTTTCTCCTCAGTTCTGATATCTCATTGTTAAAGAATTGATGGAAAATAAATTCTCTGTTAATTAAAATTACTGTTAGTTGTTCTCTGGTCAGAATTTATGGTTTTGTTGTTGAATTGATGGAGAAAATAAATTGATTTGACGACTATTTTGGATGACATGTAACCTGCTTTTAGCATAAATTATAAACTACAAGACGGTTATGAGTGACCGTGACGATTGCACTGGCACGCGAGTGTCTTTGAAGCTTGCAAAGTGCTTGTGGTTGAAAAAAAAAA